AAAATCTTAGAATATGAAAACATTGGTGAATGCCACAAAATCTCCTAAATCACTCGTACGCACAACTTAAGAACAAATGTGTGCGTACGAACGGTTCTTGCATGAGGCCCAATAATCTTGTTTTCAGAATGTGTAAGATTATTTGTCTCGTTAGCCTGAAAATTTAACTCAAATTAAAGGAGACATATCATGCTAAATGCACTTTTTTTGCATTCACTACACGTCCTGATGCATGCGTCTTCACCACACGTCCTGATGCCACATCTTCACACAACCCTCTGCACCACATCTGAACTCAGTCCACACCCAGTGTGAGGACCCTTCACAACAGGATCACACATACTTCCACACATCTCGCAGAAAGGACGTGCAGGACAAGAAGACTCAGTGTGATGAGGTTGCATATTTGTGACCCATCATATCAAAATGAGGATTAAGTCNTGAAATAAGCATTTTAAAATGTTTTCAAAATAAGTTTGGCACTTTGGAGAAAATCCAGGACTTGATCATATATCCCCTCTGGCCTGGGAACGTCTTGAGTCCCCCAGGACGAGCTGGAAAGTGTCGCTGGGGAGAGGGGGTCTCTTTGCTGCTGCCACCGAGACCTGATCCCTGATAAGCGGCGGAAAAAGGACGAACGGACAATTTATATTGTTAGTCTAAATTATTACATTTAAAATTATAACTCTAATTCAAGCAGAATARCCTATTGTGAACATAATTATGGAGTGTAATTTATTTTCAACTCAAATTATCTTCAAACTAACGAAATATAAAGTTATTAGTGAAGAAAACCCATCTGGATAACAGCAGACTGACTGCTCGTAAAATATACGACAGGTCTGGACCACTTGTGAATTTTGTTCGTATCTGAAAAAAATCGTAGAATACGAAAACATTGGTGAATGCCACAAATTTTCCTAAATCACTCGTACGCACAACTTAAGAACAAATCTGTGCATACGAATGGTTCTTGCATGAGGCCCAATGAGTTCACTGTGCTCAAATGGCCTCCACAGTCACCAGATCTCAATCCAATAGAGCATCTTTGGGATGTGGTGGAA